AGAATGACATGATATGGCGCTTTTGCAGATGCTTCTTCACTAACAGAATGAAGATAAGTCACTGGAATGAATCACCGAGCTGCTTTGTGAAGATTGATAAAGCGTGGTGTGTAGGAAAAAAAAGTGAACTCCTGCTTGCTCTGCTCTTCACAACCGTTTTACAGACTTGACATCTGCAATTTAAAATGTGATCAGACCGCAGATTAAAACCGCCATCTCAGAAACCTCAGTTTGAGATGAAAACATCAAATGACCACCCCCTTTCCACCCCCCTGCAGTGTCTTGAGGAGTAATGTAGTCTCACCTTCGACTATCAGACCCTTTACAGTAACACAGAGATGTTTGCCCTGCAAAATCATTATTCTTTGAGAATAATAGGAATAGTTAAATCTGGATTTTTTAAAAACTTTACACAGAAAAATAAGAGAGAGAGAGTCTTTATTACCCTTTTTAAAAATGTCTTGTGATGTTTCATTTTCACTTGTAAAACGTGTGTTTGCAGGTATAACTGCCTCTGCGCTGATACAGGGTACATGGGAGATAACTGTGAAATTGATATCCCGGAGTGTGCTTCCAGTCCCTGCCACAATGACGGCACCTGTGTCGAGGGGGTGAAGAATTACAGCTGCCTGTGTTGGAATGGTAATACTGTTGAACAGTTTCGTGCACACAGCAGTGTGCACCTTTGTACAATAAGTGTGGGTGAAAATCAGCCATTTTAGACGTACTGTATACCGAGAGCTCAGTCCTACTGTAAGTGCATCTGTCTTACTAACTGATTCACGTTGCACAGAATCCTACAGGGGGCTTGCGTTCATTCTCCTGGAGAAGACAGGGTTGACACAAAGGGTTGACTTTCTCCTCTGTGGTATCACACCAGGTTACGAGGGGCACGACTGTGAATTTGATGTCAGTGACTGTGCGGCGGAGCCCTGCGCGAACAGCGGGCTGTGCTATGAGCGATCAAACCGGGATCACTACGGCACGCTGCCGGAGTTTGAAGGAGAGTTCAGCCATGCAGCGGCAGCGGGCTATATATGCAAATGTCAGCCCGGATTCACAGGTAAGAATTTTGAAATATGTTACACATTATATATAATACAATATATTCAGTGCAAAGGAAGAAGCAAAGGTTTATTCCATGCTGAAAAGAAAATAAATACAACATTTCGGAAGCCTACGCATGCTGACCCAGCTCTCTACTACTTGGACTGCTTCAGCCCATATTATGTGCCATATCCTTGTTCGTCTAAGGGTCAGTCTTTGCAGAAGAGTTGCAGGACTTGGGTCACATAGTGCTGTCAGATTAGGAGAAGAAAGGGAATCCTGTTCACGATAGTAACACTATCTCATACATTGTGCGACCACCAGGACGCCGATTGACAGCATCGGCATTGAATTATAATGGAAGAAAACGGCATAAACAACACAAGAGCGTTAAAAGTGGTGTCGAAAAACACGTTTTGTTTGATCTGATAGTGTCTGTGAGACTTGTGAACGGAATGTGCCACCTGCTGCGGCTCTTTCACCTGTTTTATGTCGCAGCATAATTAGCTCTATGTAGCGGGAACCTTTTACATGAACTGCCCTCTGCTGGCCAATCAATGCATTACTGGCTTATGATTAAATGTCTTGTTGGTACCGATCAGGTCCTTTTCACTAATGTGCGTGTAACTTAGTCTTCCATAACGTACCTCTTAAAGTGTAATTCCTCACGTCTGCCATATGTAATACGTATTATTGCTACCTGCAATAATGCCCATTTCAATAACTTACCCTAAAGATAAGTGTTTTACACGGACATTTCTTTGGCCCGCGTCTGTCCTACGTTTCTAACATTTTTGCACACAATAGCTTTCAGCTACGTGAAATTTCGGGACAAAGACTGCACATAGTCACGGGTGTGAGGAAGTGACAAACGCCCAGGCTGAATCGGCAGTTCAAACATTTGAATTTGTACTCCAAGGTCAGAATATTACCTCACAGCGGCACTATCAAATTGACACCACCTGTATTTACCGCTTCATGCATCTTGACGCAGAACAGGGCAGCTCCCTTGTCTGTGATGAACGCTAATGTGACCCTGCAAATGTTTTGAGTGTTTTCATGCTCTGTTCGTAGGAGAGAACTGCTCAGTGAATATTGACGAGTGTGCTTCAATGCCATGCCTGAACGGCGGAACCTGTGAGGATCACGTTAATTACTATATGTGCCGATGTCAGCCTGGATTCACAGGTAAAGAGAACTTCTCACTATTCGTATGTCACCAAGTTTGCATGAACATCTAACTATGTTTCCGTGAGTTGTGAGTGTCTGAAACAAGCTACCCAGCTATGTTGTAGATACAAATACCCGGGCTCCTTTCAAGAAACAGCTGGATGACATCCTCAGATCAGTGAGCTACTCACAGCCAGATGGACTAAATGTTCAGAATCGCCTGCTTTCATTTGTAACGTGTCTTTATGTTTTTTACTGTTGCTTCAGACTGCAGTTGGAGACATAATCTGTAAGGGGGAAAAGGCTAATGTAGTTGTTGGTAAAGGTTTTGATCAGAGAAAAACGAAAGCTTCTCAAGTTCATGTTCTTAAAAGTGTAAATGTTCAATGTTCTGTTTAATGTAGACAGCTTGGCATACTTAACGTAATTTGGCTTGGTGATATTCATTGTGCACCATTAACATTACTCTTTTCTGATGCAGCGGAGTGAATCAATGGAAACTGAAGATTAAATTAGAGTACACTAATACCATAAGGTTTTGTCAGAGAGCTGTTTCCTCAGATGAGACCTAGAAATCAATCAGATGACTGCCTTGCAACAAGATAGCATTTTGCTTAATGCAGTTTAACGAAATGAACAGGTTGTGCCTTTACAATAGATCCACTACCATTTTGTAATGTGGCCTTTTGTTTTCATTTGCTAATGCCGTTTATGTTCACAAAGTGGGCTTTTATCACCCATTGCCTCAATGTGGTTTCTTAACAAATCTGTAAGAGAATGCTATTAAGTGAAGTCGAATTTGGTGGTTTTCAAACAGTTCAAGCCTTGAAAAAGCATTTTAAAGCAAAGATGATCCCCAGAACATTCATTCATTTTTGCAGGGTGGTTCAACTGCCCGTGTTTGCAAAGACTAATTCATTTTACTAATTTATTTTTAACCAGATCAATACAAGGAAATCCCAACATAGGACTACATTTTATTAAACTGTGTGCTATGCAAACCATTATTAGCTATTTCATGATTGTTTGCAGACTATTTTAGCTTCCTTTGGTGATAGGAAGACTCTGTTGATGACTTAAGGATGTTTGAAGGTGGACTTGAAGAAAAGGAGCTCCAAAAAGAAACAAGGGAAGGATTATTGATAGTTTTGATTAAATATAATTGGCAGTATTGTAAAATGGATTTTAACTCCTATTGCAGAAGCAGAGTGTGTTTGTACTGTACCAGTCAGAACTAGCAGAGGGGTACACAGGTACCCCTCACAAAATACAAATTACAAAGTACACAGAACATGACCCAATCTGTTGGAAATATATATGTATATGAATGTAATATATAAACGATCTTTGAAAAAAATTAACGTTAGAAAGAGTGAGTATTATTACCGAATTCACAATCTTTGAATCTCTGATGCTTTCAGACAGTTCAGTCGCTTTTTACCATACAAATCTGAATATTTGTTTAGCAATTGTAAATGGAGGCTTTTGTATTATGATACTATATGCTAATATTTTATTATCTGATTTCTAAGAATTTTGTTTTTACATGTATAGAATTACTGCTTATTGTGTATTTTCATGTTTTGACACTCTTATGGATCATAGTTTATTTAAACGTATAAAACATAGTGCACACAGGTTTCCCTACTAGAAAAATATCCTGGGATTTTCAAAACGTGAACTAATTGAATCGGTGATTAGTGAATGAGTGATGCTCTCAGGAAATAATTAACAACTAATCTCTCCTGCCACAGCAATTAATCCTCCTGCCTGTGTTCCCACAGTGTAAACAGCTTATTACTTCAAATTAATATCAAAGGGCATCTGAGAGACGCACGAACCCAAGATATATTCCAGAAAAACCGGGTGAATTCTTAAAAGAAATAGCAGATCAGCAATAATAAGTTCTGAAAACTGAAACGAACAGTGTGTGTGCCAAGATTGCACATTTTTTTCCAACTAATTAACCTCAACAAGTTTTGCTGGGGTGTTGAGGGAGCCAAGCTGAAAGGCTATCTGGACCAAACAAACCAGCCCTATGTGCCATATGTTGGCTGTCTTCAGTCAGTATTAAGTGTTTCTTTGTTGAAAATTGCTGGGGAGGAACAGATTAAAGAAAAAAGCTCCTTAAACCTGGAAAACTCCAGAGCCTGGTAGAATTGTCATTTTGTAATTAAAAATGTAACGGTTATTCTCATTGCTGTACATTGCGATTGGGACTGCAGTAGTTCCCAAAGCAGCCCCTTGGCTTTGACTGCAAGCTTCTTGTCTGGTTTTCTTCTGGGAGCACTGCTCGCTGTGTAGTTTTGATTTTATAATATTTCTGGCATTGTTCAGCATAGGCTGTCTGAGCAGTGATTTAATTGAGAAATAAACTGCTTTCATGTTCATTCGTCCTATGAATTTCGTGTTACCGAAAAGTGCAAAAGAAACTGAGCTACTTGCTTCCTCATTTTCAGTTGGTGCCTAAATCTTTGTTCCCGATTCTTTTTAGTGAGACAAATATTTAACAGTAAGATGAATTCCTCATCAGGCTGACATTCCAAGTGCTCTGTTTGGCTCAGGTGAGGGCATCGTCGATACAGTCAATGAAAGAAGGGCTTGGTTTGGGACGTCTGTGTCGTCACTGCATTACCAAGAAAACAAAGAAGTCTGTTATGAGCACAGCCGTGGGAAAGGGAGAGAGCTTCAGTGTGTTTGGGATTGGAGGGAGCTGTAATACGCGTGTGATATGAGAACAGAAAATGTGAGCTCCACGCTTAGAGCCACAGGTCTTCGGAAACACGCTGTGGTGTGACCTAACTGTGCGTGTGTCGGAACGGGATCTTTAAAAATAGGTGGGTCCAGGTCGAAAAATACAAAAACAAACAGCTGTAGGGTATAGACCCCCTAATGCAGTGTATTCACAGCACCGGGAATTCACAATACCGCAACCAAATAAAACAAATGCCTAAGCTCTTCCCTGAGCTCCTGACTACACATCTTCCTCACGTTCCTGTCTAACCCATATATGCAGGAATTTGCCCTCAGCCTCTCGGTCGCTGCCATCCACTCCCCACCAACTGACTGACCCTGAGGTTTTTAAAGAGTCACCCGACCAATCAGCTTCGTGCAGCTGGTCAGGTGATTGAGAGCAGGTCTGGCGGGGGTGTGGTCTCTATCGTGGCCATGCCCTTACAGTGTACAGAGGAGAAAACAACAGGGTTCTCGATGAGTTCACAGAAGAGAAGGACTTCATGAGTAAAGCCCAAGGAAAAATTGTGTAGAGGAGATGAACCTACCGATTAATAATCCAAGTACTACTTAAGTGCTGTGGGCTAATTAAGACTCGCAGGACTAATCTTTGCCATCTGTTTACCACCACTGATCAGTGGTCCTGCCAAGTCACAGAAATTGCCTGTGCTGTGAGGAGACGGTTGAATGGATTCGAACAGATTTTGAACAATGATGTTGGTGTGATTTTGTGTGTCATTGTGGGCTGGGAGATCAGGAAATTTTTCTCCAATAAAAATTAAATTGGGACTGATTAAAGATCAAGCTTTAACATTACTTCAGCGATGAGGTTTTTCCTTATGCTGCTTTTGGAATGTTTATTTCTTGTTGTTTCATGGGTTGAATCATTCCACAGGAAATATCGTACATGCTGATCTACCTGATCTGTGCCGATCTATGATTGCATCTATTTCAAGAAATTATCATCACCAAACATCTAAAAATCTCATTCATTCCACAACTTGTGACTGAGTGTTTCATTTTCCATATAATGTCCAAACTACTTCATTCGTACAATATTTAAATACTCAATAAATGTGCTCTGTCAGTCGTTTCACAGGGAACTCCATTCCGTTTTTTGATTTTGTGTGCATGACAGAATACATCAGGTTTCACAGTTTCATCCATTCATTGTAGTTCTAGGGCTCAAGGATTATGCAGGTCATTAGAGGTCGGTTTAGGCATTGAGGTATTCACAAACTGCGATAAAGCTCCAAAACAGCTTTCCATAAACAGTACAGAATTCAGTGTGTATTTTAAAGACTTCATTATAGTGTGTATTGCTCTTAGGCAATCCATGTGTTAACTTTGTTCATGGTCTTGCTGGTGAGTGACTGCTTAGAGTTTTATTTCAGCTATTTTCATGTATGTTTTATACTGTATACCTTAGATGTCCAGCAAGTACTTCTCTGTATTGCTAAAGCTTTATGCAGTGACTTGATCCAGAAGCACTGAGTTGTCATGTGACAGTGGGTTCAAAATTGTGTGCAAGTTCCCGGTGTAAACATTACATTATTCCACATCTTCAATACTGCATATATTATATATGACCAGCATACGTCCACTGCTTCCATTTTGTTTGACTAATGCATGTTTTACTTTTAGTAGTATACAGATGATATAAATACCTGTCAACAGGTGCAGATGATATGAAACACGCACAATACTTCTGGGCTGCCTAATAAAAACAGGATCGCACTCAGTTTAGTGAACTGAAGTTCACAGTTTACAAATACGATAAAATATACTGTTAAAAACATTTAATTCCAGAAGGGTCAGGTGATTCTAGCTGTCAGCAAGAAAGCAAGGAAGTCGCCTTTTTATTTAATTTATGTATTAAACAACCCCGCATTGTCTTCCCTCTTCATAAAAAAACAGCATATCCCTCCTCGACTTTAGCTGAGAGCACGGATGTAGTTATCCTCCAAATTATAACCAAATCGATTCCTGTACCCAGAATAAACAAATTAAATCCAGTCCTCCCCTCCGTTTATTCCACAAAAATCCGCCCAGCCCACCTGACTTTTATCTATGGTAATTGCAAAGCTGTCTGACACTACCAGGCATTATTAGTGATATATCATGTGGGACCTCGCTGTAGACAAACATTCCTGTTGTCAGTGCTGACAGGAACCAGCTGGGAGGGAGGCAGACAGAGGCGGATTAGCTCTTAGCCTAAGTTGTGTTAGAGAGGGAAGCTCGAGTTGTATTGGTTGGTTTCATCTCTAATCACTTTTGCCTGACTGGCACCAAGGGAAAGCATGCACGCTGGGCTCCTTCTCTCAGGCTTTTCTTCTGTCCTTTTCCTGTTCTTCGTTCTGACGTTGTCACAAACGTCTCTGGGGATTGCAATGAAACCCCTGCTATCACAGGTGATTTTGTGCGGAATTTGCCTCCTAACAGGTAACTGACAAGTCCCGTTTATTCATATCTTGTGAGGGCTGCGTGTTTCTCTCTCTCTCTCTTTTTTTTTTTTTAGATTGAGGAGGTCTGTGTGCGTGTGGGTCATGCTTGCTGTCCTGCGAATGGAATTTGAGCAGAATCCTCCCGTTCTTTATGTTTTCACCTTAGAAGAGCACTGGTTAATTTCTCATGGAAATACAGTTTTAATCCCGCTTCGTGAAGAGCCAATATTAGCCTCCGAGTCTGTATGCATGCCTAATTTAGAGTGTGCAATATGTTGTTGCTGTAGTTTTTGAACAATGCTAGTATTGACATTTCTAAATTTTCTAACACAAAATCAAATTAGCTGAATTTGACAAGACAAACAATGTATTTATGCTTTCAACAGCACTGGGCACACATTACAAAATGAATTGACGTATTGTAGGTTCTGCAAGATCAGCTACTTGAAAACACCTGCAAAAAGCAACATGTAAAATTCGATATGACAGAGGTAGCTTTAGATGGGTACTTGGGGTAAAATGTTTTATTCATTACTTATTAAAATATCATGTTGTTCAGTCAATACTGGATAATTTCTTAGAATAGTGTCCTATTATGTGAATATATGTTGAACGTCTGCTCTTCCATGCTATTGGATCTCTTCCAAACTGAAAGATCTGTAATATTAGATTTGGTCACTATTGACTTTACCTGGTTGGGTTCTGAACTTCAGTAGTGCATGAAGTGGGTCCTCTTCTAAATGTAAAGCTCTCTGTGACCCTTTGGAAAGAAAAGCTGCAAATGAATGCAATTAATGATTATTAGAAGACTTCCTTACAGTTTTGACACACATGTCGTAAGTGTGTGCTCTTGCTGTGAGGTCTGTAGCCGTCACTTTCCGGTGAAAAAGAGACAGGGTAAAGGTTAGTCGTGGTCAAAGGATAGGATACAAGGTGCAGGTTCTCCAAGAGGGGATTTCCACAGCCAAGGCGCCCGAGTGGAAAAAGCTCCTGCTATGTCTGCAATGACCACAGGGGGCGCTCTTCTATTTCTTTTTCTTTTTTTCTGTCCATTATGCCATCTTTGGAATCTGTGCCCTTCTGAAAAATAAAATGTGGATCACAATCAAGGGACAATTACAATATACTTAAGATAGAAAACTGTTGTTAGCGGTGCTCACAGGACTATACAGAAATGGTAGGAGATGACATTTAAAACAAAATTCTGCTATGTGTGACCGTATTGCATAGGTAATCTTGCTTGTCTTCTATGGAACAATTGAAAAAGGATGTTAAATTCCAGTGTTCTGTTTATTGGAAAGTAGTTTTGTAAGAAAAATAATTTTGTCTGTCTTCGTAGAAAAGGGTTTGGAAAAGTGAAGTCATAATGTTGGGGGATCTGTATGAAAATATACAGACATTTTCAGCCTCTTGAGGCTGCCTTGATCTGCTGTCCAGCTGGAAAGCCTAGACATAGAGATGTGACTGTGCCTTTAATTAAACAAATCAGTCATGTTTTCCAATGGGGCCAATCCTTCAAAATATTTTGTAATATTTTAACTGCATTTGTTACTACATTAACCATGAGAGCAAGGAACACTATTAGAGATGTACTGTATTTCGACTGCATGGACAGAAAGAAGCTTTGCATTTTTGAACTGATGAACTGATGAAAACGGGAACATTTTGTTCCTTCCATGTTTATTTCTGTAACAAGTTTCATTCAAGCTCTAGAATATGTGGATACATTGCGGATAACGGAGGATTTGTAATTAAGCTGCGGAAGCTTTGAACACAAGCACGTGTGTCTGCAGGGAACTTGATAAAACTACTTTTAATTAGTTTCGCTAGGAACGTGACCTGAGTCCAGCCATTGTGGGAGGGTAATGCTGTGCTTTCTTCTGCTCCCTGTCTTACTTGCAGGAGTGGGATGCGAGATCAATATCGACGAATGTGAGAGCAGCCCGTGTCACAACGGGGGCGTGTGTGAAGATGGCACCGCAGATTATACGTGCCGCTGCCCCCCGGCAGAAGAGGGTGCCATCCCCTGGGGTGGCAAAGACTGTGAGACACCAATGCTGGGCTGTGAGAACCACGCCTGTCGAAACGGAGCGCGATGCAGGCCGACTCTGGTGGACGGAAATCATGGCTACACCTGTGTGTGCCCGCCAGGGTTTTACGACGTCTACTGCAGCACTCCAACAACGTTTTCCTTTTCTTCTCGTGGGTATATTGTCATCGAAGCTCCAGAGAACAACAGGACCAAGCGGGATGCAGGTCTTCAAGAAATCAGCATCAGCATGCGGTTCCGATCCACGCTTCCTGACATGATCCTGTTTTATAGGGGCGACCAGGAGGACTTTCTGTACCTGGAGATTTCTGAGGGCCACATTCATGCTAAAGCGGTCTTGAATGACCTTGCCTCAGAAGTGTATACGTCTAGTCAGGTGAACGACGGACAGTGGCATAAAGTGAGTCTGACTTTGCGCCACGATTTGATGGTGGAACTTCAAAAGCCGCATTGCGTCAGTGAAGACTGCACAGAACTGAGAACCCAGCCGGGAGACTTTCCCTTTCGCAGGCCAGAGTCTTTCAAGAAGATGTTTATTGGAGGAGTGAGTACGGAAGGCTACCTGAACCGGACGAAAAGCAAAAGCAGTTTTATCGGTTGCATAGAGGACCTCATGATTGATTCCCGGCCTGTGCTACCTCAGAACATATCTAAGGACTTGTCCAAAGACATGATGCTTGGATGCAGTAAAAACGAGTGGTGCCACCCAAACCCTTGTTCCAATAATGGGCTCTGTATAGATCTGTGGACGACCTTTCAGTGCAATTGTTTGCGACCGTTTTATGGTGATCAATGCTTAGATGGTAAGAATTATTCTGGTTTCTTCTTAAAATATATTCCAAGTATTATTCTCAGAAATTTATTCCAAAGTGTTCTGTACGCAGATTTCTCTTGTTGCAAAGCGTGCCCTGTGTAAGACACTACTCACAACGTTTATGATCAATGAGTAGATCCAAGCAATCGGATCTTTTGAAAGCTGCTTGAGCTGTCAAGAACAAACAACTTCTCTTTTCAAAAGTTGTTTTGGTGGAAGAATGTAACCACTGGATTCTTGTTAATGAAAAATAGTTTTATAGACCGTTTTCACAGCTTTAAAAATATAATTTGTTTGCATGATAACTGAACACATAGACCAGAAATGATTTCCTTTAAATTCTCTCTCTTGAGCGCTGCTCAAAGGTTCCACACTATACTCGTCGTCTTAAAACGAAAAGGATCCTATATAATCAAGAGTTCTCTTCCTGCAATGTGTGTAAACACTTGAAGAGAAGCAGATGAAGTGGATGTTTTCTGTGATTATTCCATAGCTTTGTCATACAAGCCGAAAGCTGCGATGAGATTGGTCCTCTGTAACGAGCATTGTTTTCTTTGTCTTTATTCTAACAGAGTACAAGCCAGCAACCTTCAGTCTGGAAGATTCATTGAGCTATGCCTCCTTCAACATAACCAAAGCTCACGGATCCAACTTTTCTGTCTCATTTTTCTTGCGTTCACTTAAAGCCGACGGTCTGGTCTTCCAGCTCAGGAATGCCCAGAATGCATACTTCACACTGTACTTAAACAGGGGCCGTCTGCATGTACAGACCCTGTCTGCGTCATCAGTGGTATTTCCTACTAACATCACCAGTGGAGTGAAGCAGCTGATTATTGTAAAACACACTGATGGCAGTGTTTTGTTTAACCATTCTCAGACTGGTTATGTGCAATTGAGTCCAGTCCCTACTGTTGAAGTACAGGCCGGAGATGTGGCCTATGTTGGAGGCCATAACTGGGAAAATGAAACGGAGCCATGGGGAGGCTTTTTCAAGGGCTGTCTACAGGATGTGCGACTTGACGATATGCACTTGGAATATAACACAGTAAACCTGAGCAGAAGTGATTTTTACAGCCTTCTGCAGTCCAAGAACATCTCACTAGGCTGCATTAGCGATGATACCTGTCAGGTAAGGTTTGGTTCAGTGAAACAGATGCGTACTCTAGCTTTCCAGAAGTATTAAGATAACAGAAACCTGGATATCCTTGCTAAGGTGGAGGCTAGCTTCTGCTCAGCAACTCCAGCTTTCAACATGAACATAGGCTTTGACCTCTGTCACGCACCAGCGAAATCTAAAAACCTTCAAGAAGGGGTCTGAATCATTCAGCTTCTAGAATCTGGATTTCTGGTTAGATTTCCCTCTCCACGAAAAAGGACTAAGATACAGTAATGCATCTGCTAACACAGATTTTGAGATTTCTGCTGTATTTTGCATCAGGACATAAATGACGAAAGACTGGAAGATACATACATTACAGTTTCGTGTACTCATGGAGCACATGAGTTTCACATGCCAATAATTTTGCATAAATCTTTGAAATTTTTTCCTGTGTCTGCTACTTAATGTAGGGTGTACTCTAGACAGATAAGACAGACTCTTTTAATGAAAAATGACACAGTGTTTTCATAAGAATGGCATACGGCATGCAAAAAATTCAGATGATTGAAATGTTTCACCTGCATGTTGTTAAAAAAGGTTTATAAAACAGGACAGCCCACACAGTGAACTTGACCTGCCACTACAACCCTCACACCAGCATGGGAGAACAAAGGCAACAAGCACGCACCCTCCAAAACATGCAATGTTAGGTGTCTGTTTCCTTCTGCAGTTGACACTCACAGCAAAAATGGCTGGGTCAATGGCTAACACATAACTCACTGATAAAATCTTAAGCTCACAGGCATCTGGCCAGCCACAGGATTTACTGCTGTGCAGTGAAGCAAGAAAAACCTGGATGACTTTGAACACCCTGGCAGCCATCAGCTGCGTGCATCTGATGGAGAATACCCACTGATTAGAGCTGGCAATAAGTGGCCAGTAGGGTCAAGAATAGATCAAAGAAGACGAGGGCTTGACTGGTTGAACCATTTGGAAATTGTTTTTGGTATTTTTGTGGTTCTAATTAGACCTATTTATCTGTTCTGATCTGTAAACTTAACACATCTGTAACTAAATTGACCTTTTATTACATTTAACTAATATCTATTCCCTTTCTCTTCCTGAAGACTAAGCCCTGTGAAAACGGAGGCATCTGTAATGTTACATGGAATGACTTTGTCTGCTCCTGTGCTGCAAATTTTACGGGGCGGATATGCGAAACAAGAGTGTGGTGTAGTAGCAGCCCGTGTCCTGCTCACAGCCAGTGTGTGGATCTGCCTGATGGATATGAGTGTAAGTTTTTTCTGTTGGGATCACTGAACGCTTCTGTGCTGTAAAACAAGGTGTTGAAGTAGACGTTACCGTTAAGCAACCCGCTTTATGATCATTTACAGACTGCACATTTGAAGAAAAGACTCAAAAGTGGATATCCCCTCAAATGACACTGTTTTTAAGTCAAAGGGACATATTGACGTCTTTATACCTTTTCACGTGGTTCTTTAAACGATACCCTGAATTGTTTTTCAGGTGCAGCCAGTGCCACATTTGAAGAAAACGCTGCCATTAAATATACTGCCAACAGGTCGCTGTTTGAGCCAGTAACTAAGATTTCTCTGGAGCTGAGAACCCGTGATGAGAATGCAGTACTTCTGCATGCCACAAACGGAGTGGAGCTGTTCTGCATCGGCCTACGCAACTCCACTTTGGTTGTCAAATTCAGGACTGGGAATAACGTGGAAGTCCTGTCGCTCGTCGCCCAGTTTGACTTTGCAGATGGCTCGTGGCACAAGGTGCACGTCCACATGGCAGCGCCTAACCTTGAGTCCTCCAGGTGGACCATTTCCATAGATGACAAAAGGAATATCACCAGCGTGGGATCGGCAGGAAACCTGAACTTCCTGAACGAGTCGATTGTGTCGCTGGCCGAAAACTTCACTGGTTGCCTGGGAAACGTAAGAGTGGGGGGCTTGTATCTTCCCTTCGCCGGCGGCTACTCCACTCCTCAGCGGGCGAAGTTCACCAAACTCGGCGAGGGGGAAGTTCAGACCGGATGCACAGGGTCTCCAGTCTGCTCTTCCCAGCCGTGCCTCCACAACGGAGTGTGTGAAGATTTGTTCAACCTGTACGAGTGCAACTGCTCGCTCGGCTGGGAAGGGCAGCACTGCCAGTTCAACGCCGATGACTGCCAGCAGAGCCCTTGCCTCAACGGGAAATGTGTCGACCTTCTGGCGGACTACAGATGCGACTGCTCTCCTGGGTACAGCGGGAGGGCCTGCGACGTGGACATCGACGACTGCTCCGAGCGCCCGTGTCAAAATGGAGGAAGCTGCATAGATGGGATAAATGGCTTCACCTGCGCCTGCTCGCCCAACCACACAGGGCTGCTCTGCGAGTAAGCTGGGCTTTCACCGTGATGCGTACACACAAACTAAAGTGTTTTTTCTGTTTTTTTCAGACTTTATTTCGTCAGCGCGGGGCAAACTTTTAGAGCTTTTCAGAGTATGGCTTTGAAAAGAAACATGTTCTGGCAAACAGTCGATTCAGCAATGTTTGAATTAAAATGTCTTCGGCTAAGCTCAGCATTCCAGTAACGGCAAGGGGCTTTGCTATCGTTTCTTCGCATGTTTTAAAGTGCAGATTTTGTTTCTATGCTTTTACCTGATTATACCTCGTCTAAATCTAGTGGTCTCATAGCGTACACTAGCTATATGTAAATACTGGACACATTAAGAAGATAGGACGATTTTTCTTTCATTTTCTTCTTCTGGAACAATTGTAAACACAACTGTCAAATGCAAATTTAAAATTATCTTACTCATCGGAGATTAAGCTCACAGGTTGGCAGCCTCCATGTGTGATAAAGCGATCTGTGCCCCCCAAGGACTTCTTTTCACTTTTGATTTTGCATGCAAACAGGCGGCCGTACCCAGCGTTGCAGTGTGGAGACGATGTGGAGTGCTTCAACGGGGGGACTTGTGTTGATGGTATTTGGGGAGCTAACTGCACCTGTGGGCCAGATTTCACAGGGGACAGGTAAGAAGAGAATGTCTCAAGCACATCTGCTTTGGTGCTTAAGTATTAAGTATGTAATACTTAACTAACCATGAAGGAGGACAGCGTAAAGTTAGGATCGAGTAGAAAGTTGAATAACCAGGGAGAGCAGCCTGGAATGCTGCAGGTCAGTGAGATGTAAATAATGGAACATGGGAATCCTGGGAATTTGAGAGAGGAGGGTTCAGGAATCTTATAGTGAGTAAATGCTCACATAGAATGCGATTGTTTATAAAGGAGCATTGCTGTGGTTGTAAGATACAATACTCTGTATCATGGCTTCAGCGGCTTAGCTGTGAGTTTTTCCAGGGAGAGGAAATATGTAACATTGGATAATCTCGGAGGAAACGATATAAGGAACTTAAAGTTCATGGCAAGATTCTGGAGCACGCAAGCTCTGGGGAAGTGCAGAGACTTTCAGGTAGTCTCAAAGGAGATGAATAATCGCAGTTGACTATATTTGTGTTTATAGTGACATCTAATGGCTATGTGTTCAGTAGTGAAAATCTAAAGACCATGATTCTGAGTGAAACACGGCAACACTAGCTATGTTCCCAGCAGATTCCAGAGAGAAGATGAAGGTTTTCCTTTCAGATATACATTCACATTACAGTTGAAACAGTTACTATCATTAAACTATTAGATGTTATGGTAGAAATGGCATTTCATTACAATCTCAGAAATCAGAGATCTGGACTTTTAGGCATTGCCATCATATGTCTTAATACCTGCCTGAAAGAAATGGTCACGTTCAGGTGTGTCTACTGGATTAAGTCCAAAGTAGAGTCAAGCAGACCAGGTCCAGGGTTTTCAATGTACCTGACGAGCTGGAAGAAGGAGTTAAGTTGGACCCTAAGTCAAGAAGGACCTTGATGAATGCTAACAGATCTTCTATCAAATATATTTATGTGCACTAACTGCTTTAAGACTTAACTGTTTCAAAGCACTTAAAATAACAATTAAAATGACATTACAAAATAAGAAGCATATAAGTAAATCAGCAAAACACAAAACTGGATTGTTTTAACCAACAGTAAGTTAACTTTAAATAGATCCACAGATAGACCCTTTGCTACTGAGTTAGACAAACTATCCCAAAGTCTAGCTGCAGTGAAACTGAAAGCCCTGTTGCCTTTTTTATATGAATCTTTGGAGATACGAGCCAGCCTACAGAATGAGATGTAAAATAGAATATATGAGAGACATACAGTAAAGGATTTCTGTGAAGACAGTAGGATTGTAGACTTTATAAGTCTGACGCAGAACATTAAAAGGCCAAAGTAGTGTAGAGACACT